GGGGGGGGCAGCAAAAATTTAGACTAAAAAGGGGGGGAGGAGGGCAGGTTAATAATTCAAACTTAAGAATGCAAACAACTGTCAAGGTTAGACAAACTTTTTGTTTTGCCAGCACAGGATTTATGAATACATTAAATTTATGTCTTCCAAAAACCATTGGATACAGAATACAGGATATTATTTAAAACAAAGTATTCAGAATACAGGATATAATCTAGAATACAGGATACAGGATATAATCTAAATAAATAATTTATAACTTTATTTTTTATTTGGGGGAAATATTCCACAATTTCCATTTCTGGGTTTAAAAGAAATATTTGCTCCGAACACACTTCTTCTTTGTTTTCTTTAATTATTCGTTTTATGAAACTATTGTGCACTTTATCATTATGCTCACTCTGTGGTAATTTTCTTTATAACAATGCTTTAAAGTAATAATCGGGAATAAAATGTTCAATTAGTTGTATATTATAGCACTGTGCTATAAAATTTAATTCAATATGTTAAAAATTAGAATATTTCTAAAATAATGAGTAAATTTGAAATTATTTTTTTTATCGAAAAGCTGTCATATCTAGAAATAACTAGAATGTATCAAGAAAAGTTCACGAATATTTCAACAGAATTTCTTTTAATTTTTCTACTGTTTTAGCCGGAGCACTTACAAAATGTTTCCGCACAAAATGTTTCCGACCTGGCTCAAATTCTTGAAAGGTTTAATTTTGTCTTGGGTTTTCTGCTTTAAATGTCTTTAATGGTAAACTATATGATTTGGCAGAGAAAAATCAAGTTTAGATTGAATCCCAGAATAAAGGAAAAATTAAGGACAGAAAAAAGTCCGAATAGTCGTCCCTAAGATCTCATCCTTTGATGGTAACCCTGTCACTTTTATGCTAAATAGGTGACTCCTAAAACACCAAAAGCTAGAATGCAAAAAGGCCTCAAAACCAAACAACCGTTGAAAGTAATCAATTTTAGGTTAAAAATTAAAGATATCTCCATTATCCTTCATCAGTTAAAGGTTTAAATGGCACCGTTGCGAGTCAAACATGCCTTTTTTTTACAAATAACGCCCCTTTAGGATCTCTAAATTAAAATTAAAGAAGATTTCCCCCAAAAATATGTTATTAAAAAGTTCCATGATATTTATTTATTTTCAGTTTTTGGTATTCCTGTTTTTAGTTTTCCATTTTCTTGTGATCAATCCTTTCGAATTGTCAGGTTAAATTTTTATAAAATCATTTTTTTAAATACTAAAAATGAAAAAAATTCATCCAAATCTTAATCTGAATCTCTATCTGAAAAAAATTATTAAAAAACAAATACAATTCTTTTTAAAACCGGATTTTTACCTTTTATGTAATGTTTTGACTGTACTGTACTGTACTGTACTATACTGTACTGTACTGTACTGTACTGTACTGCGCTGTACTGTTCTGTACTGTACTGTACTGTACTATACTATACTGTACTGTACTGTACTGTACTGTACTGTACTGTACTGTACTGTACTGTACTGTACTGTACTGTACTGTACTGTACTTTACTTCACTTTACTGTACTGCACTGTGAATGCATTGTACTAAACTAAACTGTACCTTTATATTGTACAGGGAAGAAACCGAACCAGTTTCCTGTAGGAATAAAGGGACAGTGCTCAGTAGAATAGTTGTAATATATCCAGCGGAGCATAAGGTATTTAGTTCATTTTGTAATTCATTTTAATTTTATATATTTCTTAGAAATGGTTTGTTCATGAAGTTAGGTATATTTCCGTTCACAGTGTTTTCAACCGTTAGTATGATCAGTTAAGATTAAAGATCTGTTCGTTATTAGTTTAAGCCTGAACGTTCCGATCAATTAACGCTGTTTTTCCGTTCTTTTAAATTTACGTTAGTTAACGATCTCGATTATACTAATGTTGTTAACTAACAATTATTTTATGTAAATTAATGTCTAAATATCGCCACGAGCGGGGAACAACAAAATACAACATTTAAAAACATCAAAACAATTAATCATTTATATTTTATTTTCTGTAAGTTTCATGCAATACTACGCAGGAAAAACACATACGTTCTTTCTTTTTTCATGTTTGTTAACGATTTCAAAATCAACGGTTTTTGCCGTTCGTTACCGAATATTTGGATAAAAAACAGGAAAAATTAAACATTTTTATTTTTAGGTTATATGTGAGTTGGATAATCGTCTACCAGAATCAAAGTAAGAAAAACTCGATGTATAGGATTTAGTGATAACAAACTACTTTAGGATTCTTGGGGCCCCGAAACCCCCCGCTTCACCACACCTGCTAACAGGGCCCCGAAACCCCCCGCTTCCCCACACACCTGCTAACAAATTAAATCAATTTTTTTCTTTTCAGATATTTCTTCGTAGCCACTAACCAGACCCAAGGAATGCATAATACAAACTGTAAATATATATATATATATTCATACTTTGCTTGTATGTCTATTTGTTTGTTTGTGCCCATTTAAAAACCAGTTAAGACAACATTTATAACCTTATCTTCCTAAAAAAAAATTGAAATTAATTGTTCATAAACTAAGATTTACAATCATTAGTGATTTCAATTTTAAATTAAAAGAAACGATAGTTTTTCGTTCAAAAAACGATAGTCTAAAAAACACATCGTTTTTCGTTTCTTGAAAGTTCAAAACGAGTGGTTCGTTTAAAAAACCATCGAAAACGAAATGAAAAGCAATCTTTATTTTTTGGATCGTTTGGATCGTTTCTGAAAACGATTAACAACTCTAATTGTATATAATGCATGTAATGCTAAATAGGTAAATACTAAAAAAATGTAAATATAACCAAAGTAAAAAATAACAATTGTATCAAATTTGCGTAAATAATTTAAATATTTGAATTATTTTCTACTTGGACTTTGAAAAGTGCACTGTATTCCCGCGGCCTGTCAAAAGTAAACTTCTTTGTAAGGATTTCTGATATTAAAAGACGCACGGGCAGCCGTAGTACATTTGAATTTCCGAGCCGGGCCATCCTTTCCGGTCCCAGTTTGTACTGTACCTGGCTCTTTAGACAGGACTATCCCGTACAACAAGTTTGACGCGGTCAGACTTTATACTTCATATAGGCTGAATTTACTTTTACTAAAGGGACAGAGAGAATGATTTATTTCTATAAGGTTACGATGTACTACTGCATCATTCCTAGTAATCGAAAAACATGTTCAGCTCCGAGGCAGCAGTAGGATCATTTGACAGTACTTCGTGAGTGTACTGTCAAAACTAAACATTTCCTTCCTTCAATACAAAAGTATAGAACACACATGTATTTAATAGCGATACAGCAATACAGATATAGATATATAGATAAACACTACGAACCACCAAGAAATATGAAAATGCATCTTTAATTATTAAAAAAGCAAATAATTAAAAAAAAATAATTATTGTTTTATAAATTGAGGTAGACATATCATGTAGATTTTGAACATCTAGGATATAGACATAGTTTTATGAAAACGCTTTAGACTTGAACTCATTTTCACAAGATTTAGGACTTTTTTCTTGGTTTTTTTTTTTCAAAAGATATATTTTCTTCAGGACTTTATTGGCAGCCTCCATACTATTTTAGGAAAAAAAGTCCCAGGAATTTAAAACTCAGGACTTTATTTCCAGTGACATTTTGTCCTAGGACTTCAGAAAATTAGGACTTTTTTTACTGAAGTTTAAGTTTTTATTTCAAGGTTTTTTTCCCTGAAACTTATTTTCCGGAGACTTTCTTACATAGTTTTCTTAAAACATGCATAAATCTCAACTTTTGCTTGAAAGTTTGGGATATTATTGTAACCCTATCATTAATAAAAGGTTGAGTATATATTTTATTCTATTTTATATTGATAAAAGGTTGAATTATTATTTTATACATATATTTTATAGTTAAATCTTTTAATTTCAAAACTTATTTGGGTTTGTCTGAGATCACTAGAAAAGAAGTTGAGCAGGATTTACTAAACAATACACATCATTTTGGTTTCAACGAAAATCCGCAAAAACTCAAAAAAGGAGTTTTTAATTTTAGTGTCTATTTGCATGATATTCTGCAAGTTAATAAAACTACTCTATGGATGGTTAAAGTTTTTTAACTAAAAAATGGATCTAACTAACTGTGCTCAAGGAAGGTTTCTGAAACATTAAAAATAGGAAAAATAGATGGATTTTTTTAAATGCACCAAATCGTAAAGAAAAATCCGCCAAAATATTAAAATGATCTAAACTTTGAGAGCAACAGTTAAAAGCTAAAAATATTTACAGGAAAATGGGCCTTGTGAGATAGATTGAAATTGCTAAAGTTTTCCACTAATACTGCAGGAGACCAGGGTTTAGAGCCTCCAAAAGTATAGATTATTTTTATTCTAAACAAAATACGCAAAATGTTTACACCATTTAAAATGAAAAGACTGTAGACGTAATTTCAAGTAATCATTTATTCACATAGTGGCATGTATCGATTTACAACGGTATCCTATGTATGATCTTCCCCGCTCCACTTACCCCTGCCCAAGAAAATTACCACCTTACACAAACCCTATTCTCCCTACCTTTAGTATACAGTGAGATCTTCAAAACTGTGTAATAGGCATTTTAGCAATCATTTGAGCATTGGTGTTGTTTTAAAGCAAATAGTTTTACAATGTAACTTAAAAATCATCTTATTAAGTGAAATAGGTCTGTGTACACTGCACATTTGCTGTTTTTCATGGTCACTATCTAAAATAATAATATGAGTCTTACAGTCGTCTTCCCTTTCCACAGTTTTAAGGGTCTCACTGTTGATATGTTGAAGTATATACAGGATCAGTTCAAGGACAATGTGTTGAGTGTCCAGGCGGGTATATAAAAATAAAATATTTATACATATGGGACCATGAGGGTATAGTAGAGAAATATATAAATATAGGAAACATGATGTAGTTCGAAAGTAATTCTTTGAAACAGAAATATTCCATTGAAGTTTTGTGTTTTGGAAAATATTTAAAAACTGAAACAAATATATTTAAATCATATAATAATTCCCCACTAAACATTTATATATATGTATAGATATTATTTACTATGTACAGATTAAAAGCCTCTACGTACATTGTGGCTAGATATGTATTATGCACATGCACGTTGGGAATAAATATAGTCGTAGTTATATATATCAATAGGATTAAGACTACTTTCGATTTCAATTTTGAATTATACCAAGCTTTTAAACAGCATAGATATTTATAAACATGAAAACAAAGAGAATTAACAGCTTCTCTACAGATTTAGAGACTGTATGTACATTGGGACAAGATACTATATACTATGTACAGATCAAGAGACTGTATTTACATTGGGACTAGATATTATATTTTATGTACAGATCAAGAGACTGTATGCAAATTGGGACTAGATACTATATATTATGTACAGATCAAGAGACTGTATGTACATTGGGACTAGATATTTTATTTTATGTACAGATCAAGAGACTGTATATACATTGCGACTAGATATTATATATTATGTACAGATCCAGAGACTGTATGTACATTGGGACTAGATACTATATATTATGTACAGATCAAGAGACTGTATGTACATTGCGACTAGAGAACAACGGAACCAGTATTTCAGATAAGGTAATTGTTATTATGTACAATGTACATTGTACATACATGTTTAGTTTGCTGGTTAAGTTCGTATCTAACTTGATGTAAAAGTGTACATACACAGGTTGATGTAAAAGTTTACATATTCAGGTTGATGTAAAAGTGTACATACTCGGGTTGATGTAAAAGTGTGCGTACTCAGGTTGATGTAAAAGTGTACATATTCTGGTTGATGTATAAGTGTACATACTCAGGTTGATGTAAAAGTGTACATATTCAGGTTTATGTTAAAGTGTACATATTCAGGTTGATGTAAAAGTGTACATATTCAGGTTTATGTAAAAGTGTACATATATAATTTCAAACAAAATGTTGATAATTTCAAACAAAATGTTGATAATTTCAACCAAAATGTTCAGAATTTTCATAAATGTTCAGAACTTCCAAAAATGTCCAGAATTTCCAAAAATGTTCATAATTGCAAAATATTTAATTGGAAAAAACTTTTCCTAATTTCAAACAAAATGTTCATAATTTCAAACAAAATGTTTCATAATTTCAGACAGATGTTCATAATTTCCAACAAAATGTTCATAATTTTAGACAAAATATTCATAATTTCAAACAAAATATTCACAATTTCAAACAAAATGTTTATAATTGCAAACATAATGTTCATAATTTCAAACAAAATATTCATAATTTCAAACAAAATGTTTAGAATTCCAAAAATGTTAACACTATTCAGGGTTACCCACATGAAATTCAGTTACGACTGTACGGAATTTAAAGAATGTTTACAAAGCAAAAGACACAACTTAACCTTCAGATCGTCGTACTTTAAGAGTTTTAGGTCGTCATTGAAGTTTCATATTTTGCGTGTAACCCTGTAATAAAAAATCTTGGTATTTTAGTAAACTTTGTGGAGAGTTCGGTCAGATTTCCAGATTCAGAGCTCAATCATCTTTGCAGGTTACAATTGGAACTTAAATAAAGCTTGCCTTAAAATTTAATTTTTAAATCTTTATATCTTCGCAACTTGATGGTGTAAATAGGGCTGGGCACGTAATGAATTTTTTCAACCCGTTCGTTAACGCTTCGTTGAAACCGTTTACAAAATGTAGTTGTTCGTTTTTTTTAGCAAAAAACGGAACATTTGGTTCCGTTAACGTTTTTTCCGTAATTTTTAAAGCTACCGTTCAAAACAAAATTTTTTTTTCAAAAACGGCTATTTTCGTAAAATTAACGATTTAAAAATTAACGGTTTTTGCCGTTCGTTAACGGAATGTTATTTTTCAAAAACCTTCGCTTTGCCAAGTCCTAGGTGTGAACATTTCACATTTCAAACTTTTTAATCTAGGAGAGTTCATAGTTTGAAATGTGAAAGGTCTACGATGTCAGGATACAAATATAAGAATTGGAAAATTAGAGTAGGATGGAGAGTAATCAGTTCTGAGGACCAACATAAAATAAACTATATTTTCAAAGGATATCTTTTCTTGTAGACTAATATATGTCAGGAAAAAAAGATTACTTGTCTAAAATGATCTCTCTTATATTCATTTGCCCTATATCTATATAATAAAGGTCTTCGCTCGTATATATATTTATATATATATATATACATATATATTAGGGTGTATATATGTTAGCTATCTGGCCAAACGGCTGGACCGGATTGGCTTTAATTTTTTGAGGAAACTCATGGTACCCTGGGGGTAACGTACAGAATAGAAAAAATTTGAAATTTTTAAAATGATTTTTTTTATATTTGATTTTTTTA